AACATATATACACATACACACACCTGCACACACTTATAGATGTACGTCTTTCTCCCTTGATCGAGTATAAGACTAGGTATTGTTTCATTCATTATATTTTTATCCCTAACACCTAGCACTAGTACTTGGCACATATAGAGTTTTTATTAGATGTTTGTTGACCAAATGATTACAGATAAAAAAGTGAATTGTTCTCTAGGTTGTCCTTAGAGTCAGGAGTATTGCCTTGGACAGATCACTTAACCTTTTAGTCCCTTTGATAATTCTGTAAAACTGATACATGAGTTACTGATCTGCCTTGGTGGAGGGGATTTTCATACCTGGATCCCCCATACTGATAAAATCACTGGTCTAAACAAAACAGTAATGATATATTTACTATATGAAGTAGATCAATTCAAGGAGCTTGAAAAAGATACAGTAGAACTGTAAAGCACAGGTCAACATTTCTCACTTTGATGGGATGTAGAACACCATGAGAAAAATATTTAAACCAGTAATTAGGCAGTAGTTAGACAGCCACCCGTATGCTCTTATTAATATTTCATATATAGGCAGATAATTATCTTCCCTTGGATTTTGGGGGAGTTTTTAATGTTTCTTTTCTTCCTATTTTGTAGAGCCAAATACATTTTTTAAAATTTCTTAAACAAAATTATCGACCCTAGTCAATAGCCATTTGTGATTATGAATCCTTCCATGACTTCCCTTCCTTCTAAGAGTAGCATAGTAGAATTTAGATCTGGAGAGGACCTTAGAGATTATCTAGTACAATGTCCAGAATTTTAGTACATCCTGACAGTCAGATTGGCAAACTTTTTACTTAGCCCAGTCCTGGGGGTATATTAAGTGGTTAATAAATGCTTATTTTCCTTCTTTCCTTCCCTCTTACTGATAAAAGCATTTTGTCATATTGCCATTTGCCACATCAATATTGTTAATAGTGAAATCATTTGAGTCTCTACCACATTGTGAATCTTACAAATTCAAAGCTCAAGTCCCACATAGAATTCCTCTTTCAAAAAAAATTAAATGTTCTTTAAAATTGGACAAATTTGAAGTAAATGCAATTTGAAAAAAAAAATTGTGCATCATTGGTTAATTACCATCAATGATGTTTTTTACTTCAAAAGCTCAAATAGTAATTCCTTACTTTATTTAGTAAAACATTACCATGAAAATAATTAACAAAGCAATGCATTAGTTAATAATATACATTGATAATTTTGCACAGACCTGTTATTTTATTGGTATAGGGGCCTTCAGTCAGTGAATCAGTAGTCACCAAGTATTTATTAAGTTCTTGCTACATGCCAGATCACCAAAGATGCCAAGGTCATCCACTGAATAACGTAGGAATAAATGGTTATTGAGTGAATGCTTGAATGACCTTTTAACTCAGTGCACATCTGTGGACCCTCACAGACCACATGGTCTCCAAGACTGACTCCTCACTGCTACAAACTTTAGGAAATAGAAAATAGGACAAGGTGTTTAACTTGCTTCATCAAATACTTACTGTACATCTAGTGATATGAGGGTAATTGTGTAGAATAAACACACTAAAGGAACTTTCTGGACTAGTTGGGGATGGATATTACCTCTTAACTCTTCCTGTTATGGTATGCCACAACTATTTACTGGATGAAGAAATATTTGCAATTTTCATAGCTTTAGAGTTGAAAGAGACCTCAGAGGTCATTTAGTTCCACCTCTTTATTAACCAGAGAAGTTAAAGGTCTTCCCTAAGTTTACACAGGTGGTCAGGGGCAGAGCCAGTCCTCTTGTTCTAAACCAAGGCCTTTGCCACTATACTATACTACCTTTCTAATATGTAATAGATAGAATTCAGTACTATACTAGAGAGAGAATGATGAGATTTTAGTTCTAGACTCAATTCTATACTGCCTAGCTGACCTTTGGTAAATCACTTAACCATTTCCTTTCTGGATATGTAAAGTGGGAATCCATTGATGAGTTTCAATCATATTTGTGGGAAGAAGTAGCCCTAGTAATACAGAGAAATGAAAGTATCAGAGTATATGCATGGTGGTGAGACAAGTTTTAATCTCTAAGAGTCCTCAAAAATCTAAAATCTTGTGGCTCTTTGAGAGGAAGGAGCTTTCTTTTAGTTCTCTGAGGGGTACAAAACTCATGTAAATGTGTAACAGAAGGCTTCTGAAAGTTCATTAGAACTCTAAAGAAAATGAGAAAGCCTAGTTTGATCCCTGCTTTGCCATTTCTTTCTATAACTTATGTAACCAAGACATACTGTGTGTTCTCCATGCACAGAAAAGTCCCAAGATTTCCATGTCAGGAGCTTGGACTCCATGAGGAATCTTTTACAATAGGAAGATTTTTTTTCTAAAAAAATCATCTATTGTAAGAGTTTATTTTCTTAACTATAATATCCATTTCCATGGAAATAGGAAAGCATCAATTGTCAATGAATCTTTCTTTGGGTTAGGGGAAGGAGGGCCATCGATCTTTGATTCAGAACTCCAGGCCTTTATTGTGGTATTTCCAATGTATAACTTTCTACATTATATCTTTTTCATGAATTATCATGTAGTATATGAGATAGCATGTCCTAAGTGAATGAGACCCAAATCACTCCTTTCTGGAGTTGCAAGCATGTGGTTTTCAAATTATGGCTCCAGTTTTGTATTGGACCAAAAGGAAACAAATGAATGAATATTTGTTCCCTTCTGGCACTCTAGTAGTGAATAGATCTCTCTAAAGTTCAGGAAGTCACATAGTGTAAGCTTGAGCAAACTACTAGTAGACTACTTGGCCTTTCTCCTACTGTAGCTAAGCTTTAGAGAAGACTGGGGAGAATAGGGATGAAAGTTCTCTCTTCTCTTCCCAAAGATGTACTTTTCAGGTTTTGGAAAGGAGAGTGAAAATAATTATCTGTCAATCTAATCTGTGTTAGAAATGTTAATCCAATTATTTTTATAAGTAAGTATTCCACAAATGATAAACCATAAAAACATGAACTGTATGTGAGTGAGTGGGGAGGCAAACAAATAACACTAGGATTATAGAATGTTAGAGTTCTTCATTATTTTCTTATAGGAAAAATGTTAGCCTGGGACAGGGGTGAGGAATCTGTGGCCTCGAGGCCACATGTGACCCTCTAGTCCTCAAGTGTGGCTCTTTGACTGAATCCAAACTTCACAGAACAAATCCCCTTAATAAAAGGATTTGTTTTGTAAAATTTAGACTCAGTCAAAAGGCTACATCCAAGGACCTAGAAGATGTGGCCTCAAGGCCAAAGGTTCCCCACCACTGGTCTGGGAAGATAAGTACGTATTTACAAGACTGAAGGCATTAGATCTGAGGAGACAAAGTTCACATAAATTCCAGAAATTGAGTTAAATGTCTCTGGTGAACCTTAACCATTATGTTTACCTTTCACTTTAGAACAAAACACTTGAGTGCTTGTTCTACCTGATCCATCTCATTGATGAGGTGAGGTTTGGAACAGATGCAGGCTTGGGCAAGACAAGTTTCTTTCCACCTGCCTCCCTCATCACCCACACAAGACTGATGTGAAGAGAGTTGGTTTATCAAAGTACCATGGCCTCGTTAATCTCCCTTCCTAGGAAAGAACTATCTTTTAGCTCCCTTTCTTTAGTATTCACTGCAGAGATTCCTTGGGGAGCACCAATGGTTTCATGTTGTCCTTTCTCTTAGTAACTGGTATGGAGGTGGCTGAAAGGGCTCTGACAGGTAAAGGTACCTAAGTGGTCATAATGGCCTTTCCCTTTATGATCTGCTCCTCAAGCTCACTCCCCCTTTCCAATGAAACTGAAGATCCTCTGTTATAATAATAGCCTAGCTACTGCTGCCCAGTAGCTGCATATATCCAAGCTGGGTAGGGGGTTTAGATCTTGGGGGCTTTAGGCTTAGGTGGGACTGAAATTAGAAATGTTTTAGCAGTACTTCTATAGCATGTCAATGAATATTCTCTGCATCAGCCTCTTATTTTCGGAACCTAAATTTTACCAGTTCATCTGCCCATTCCTGTATGATTGTGGCACCAAGTAGGCTCGTAGCAAAAAGTTCCTTCCAGAAGGTAGAATTCAATTACTCCTATGCTGGCTAGTCACAGGGTATGGCAAGGTATTGTGGGAATCTATCCAGCATACCAAACCCATGTCTTTTAGGAAATTAACCCCCTCTTTTACAGAGCCCCATTAAGGAACTTATTATTATGGGATCAGGCATACAGAATTTCCCATCTTAGCTACCCCAAAAGGACAAAGGATGGTTCTAATGCTGGGTTTTTAACTGATTTAACTAGATTTACAAAAGTAAATCTTTCATTTCTTAAAGTTGATGGACCTGTACTGCAGGAAAAAGAAAAAATCCAGGTTTTCATTTGTACATGTCCTAACTAACCATTGTTCTACTAGTTTGTTCTAATAGGGTACCATTTAAATTTCTCCTACTACCTCCCAAATTTCTTGGTGATGAAATTCCATGCATCTTTCATCCCTTCCTGTAGAGAGTTAGAATAGGGAATAGGTGAAGATTATAACTGGGTCACATTGCCTATTCTCATCTTCACTCACATCTCATTATCTTCTCATATAATCCTTATCTCGACAGGATATGACATGTTTTCCAGCAAAACTTCTGGATTAGAGATGGTACTTCATTCCCAGGGCTTCTTGATCCCCACTCCCGTCTTCATCACCTCTTTCACTTTCTCCTTTACCTAGATTAATTACACTGTAGATTGTACATTATATCTCCCATTAGATTCTAAGCTTCTTGAGGGGAGGCTCTAAATGGATTTAATATCTTTCCTACATTTTTTTGCTTGCAGTGGAAATAGAAGTGGAAGTAGAAAAACAAAGAAACAAACAAAAAAGCAAAATTCTCTTTCTTATACCTATTAGTTCAAACCTGGAAAATACATCACTTAGAAACACATTTTAAACTAAATCCAATCAATAAAAACAATATCAAGACATAAGGATTATACATACTCATGAAGTGAAGAACAAAACATAAGAAGGAGCTCCTGAAGCTAAGGTCGTGGACTTTGAGCTCATGCTGGCTTCCCCCCAGTAATTCCTCCATAACCCTGCTTTCTGGCAAGCGTCTCACCACCATTATGATGGCGATTTGCAGAAAAGCAGGATATAAGACTATTGTGATGTTATTAACAGCTGCTGAAGTAGCTTATCAGCAGTAGATCATGACTTGATGTTTTACTCCTACCAAACCACAGGGGCAAAATGCATGTTTCTTTCCTTCTAACTTTGCAGTTACTTCATTTTCAATTATTTCATTTGCCTCCAAATTCTTTACAAATTTAAATGGAAACCAAGTTAAATTGGCAGACCTCAAATTTCTAATTTCTTGTTTCCCTCTGTAATTGAAGAGCCCAGTTTACCAAATCTGCTGGTTTTCCCTCTTTTGAGGGGCCCTTATTCTTTTCTTTTCTATTTCATCTGTTACTAATTTTTGAAAAATCTCTTCTCACTCTTACTTCCAAGTTCTCACTAGGAGGTTTTGAATGCAACAGCAAACACTGAACTAAAAGAAGGTGTGAGTGTGTGTGTTTGTGTGTACACACAAATGTATACACACATATGTAGAGAACTGTGGGGTGTGAGTGAAGCTAGTCTATGAAATGTGTAATCAGGGAGAAGCACACCAACCTCCCACCCTTCAGTCTGCTGCTAATGAATCTCTTTGTATACTTTATCTCAACAGGTTCTTCAGAACCAGTTTAGTGGGTATGATCTGGAATATTGTCAAAATATACAAAAATTATAAATACTTTCTCTTTAATTGGCTCAGCCTCTAATTTGGAATAAAACAGGGGAATGTCTTCTTCCATGGGTTAGTTTCCTTTCTCCCAATCTCAAACCACAAAGCTATTGGCTTAGGGAAAACAAAACTGTTAATCACCATGTAATTTATTAACAGTATCATATATTAAACAAATGTAAGGAAACATTTAAACAAAACATAGAAGTTGGAATACAGCTCTCAGTCAGTGTTGCATCTGTGTCTTGTGAAAGTACCAGAAATAAAAGAGTCACGGACTGAACTTTGCTATTTGCAATTGTGAAAACTGCTGTTTCAGCCTAATCTCAGCTCCCATCCTCTTTTCTGGTACATGACCATTTTCTCACCTCCTATTCACATGCTCTTCTGCTTGCATCTCTCTCCTGCTTTCATTCTCTCTCTCTCCCCCATCTCTCTCTTTCATTATCTCTCTCTCATTCTCTCTGCATCTCTCTGTTTCTCTCCCTCTCTTTCTCTCTCTGTCTCGGTCTCTTTGTCTCTCTCTGTCTCTCTTTCTCTCTCTCTCTCTCTTCCTCTGTCCTCCCCCCCTTTCTTTTTCCTTCTGTCCTTTCTGTCTCCTTTAATTAGTGGACTTTCCTCCAAACCATTGGTAACCCTAAAGAAATGTGTAGAGTTCTCCTTCTCGGTTCTCCTTAGAATCTTTGTAAACAATCTAGCCCTAAGACTATCTTCCCTAGCTAAGTTGTCCAAAGACTCCATGATCCTATTAAAGGAAGAGCATCAGTATCCACAGTCACTGTGGTCTTACATTTAGACAACCTAGAGATACATATACATATGTATAAGTCTATGTATTACATATATGCGCATATGTGGGCATGCATGGGCTGACTGGTGATTTCATTGGTGTTTGGAACTCAAGGTGAGGAAACTTTTACTTCTATTCATCAATGGAACCTTGTCACTTCTAGCCTTAGAGAGTTGACTGGAGTCAGTCAGTCAACAAGCATTTTATTAAGTGCTTACTAGGTGCCAGACACTATGCTAAGTGCTGGACGTTCAGTGAAAGGCAAATGCGCTCTCCTGGTCTTCAAAGAGTTCACATTCTAATAAAGGAAACAAGCAAATAACTGTACATACTATATAGCTATCTGTATGTACGTGTATGTATATATGCACATGTGTGTATATGTATGCATATATGTATGTGTGTGTTTGATGGAAGGCTGTCTTATAAGGAAGGTACTAACATTCAGAGGGATTGGGAGGGACCCGTTGCAGAAGGCAGAAGTTTAACTAGGTCTTAAAGGCATCCATGGAAGATCAGAAGTAGAAATACAGGAAAAAGCAATCCAGTCGTGGAAGACTGCCTGTTCAAAGACACGGGGTCAGAGGGTGGAGTGCCCCATGCAAGGAACAGCAAGTTGGCTGCTTTGGCTGCATTGTAAAGTGTGCTTTAGGCAGTAACACGTCCAAAGATTCCAAAGGAAGGAAGGGGCTAGGTTTTGAAAGATGGTAAATGTCTAACAGATACTTTAGATTTAACCTCGTTGGGGATGGGGCAGGGTGACATGGGCAGGCCTCCATTTTAGGAACATCACTTTGGCAGCTGAATCAAGAGAGACTTCATGCAGAGAGATCAACCAGAACCTATTGCAGTCATCCAGGTATAAGATAATGAGGGCTTGCACTTGCATGGATGGGTGGTGTAAGTGGAGAGAAGCAGATGTACCAGAGATGTTGTGAAGGTAGAAATGGCAAGATGTGATAACAGACTGGATGTGTGAGGTGAGCATAGGTAGAGGTAAGGATAGACTTGAGGTGGTGAGCCTGGGAAAAATGGTAATACCTTTGACAGCAATATGGAAGTTGGGAAGATGAGAGATTTGGGGAGAAGGGTGTATTGGTTTGGACATGTTAGATTTGAGATGCCTGTGTACATCCAGTTTGAGATGTACAAAAAAGCAATGCCTGAAGCAGAGCTAGAGTTCAGAAGAGGGATTAGGGCTGCATACATAGATGTGGGGATTTTTTCCTTTGAGACGATCATTGAACTCATGCTTGCCGATAAAATCAAGTGAGATGGTGCAGAAAAAGAGCAGAGGGGCATGACCAGACCTTGGGGGACACCCACAGGGGTTGTGATTTAGATGAAGATCCTAGAAAGGAGACTGAGGAGCAGTCAAACAAGTGGGAGAATGAGGAGGGAACAGTGTAATGGAAACAAGAAGAAAGGATCAAGGAGAAAAGGGTGATCCACATGATGAAAGTTTGGTGGAGATCAGGAATCTCTCAATTGACAATTCTAATGGCATCTTCTCAACCCTCATCCTTGACCCCTCAGCAGTCTTTTTCTGGATCATTATCCAGGTCCTTCGGTCTTGAGCCCTCCTTTTCTCACTCTATGCAATTTGCCTTGTTGATCTACTCAGATTCCAATTCCAAAATTCTCATCTCTGTGCTGAAGATTTTCAGATCTGTTTGTCCAGCCCTAAACTCTCTCGACATCCAGTCTCATATCTTCAACTGCCCTTTGGACATTTTGAACTAGATGTCCTCTAGATGTTTTGAATTCAACATGTCCAAAACTGAAGTCATGATCTTTCCTACCAAACCTTCCCCATTTTCTAAGTTGGCTATCATGGTTGAAAGCACTGCCATTCTTCCAGTCACTCACATTCCCAACCTACTTGTCATTCTGTCATCCTTGTCTCTTTACTCTCTCTCACTTCCCATATCTAATCTGTTGCCAATTTTACATTTGTAACATCTCTGCCATATTCCCTTTCTGTCCTTTAGTACTGTCACAACCTTGATCCAAGCCCCCATCACCTCATTCCTGGACTATTGCAACAGCCTTCTAATTGATCTCCCTGCATCAAGAATCTCCCAACACCAAACCATTCTCCACTCAGCTGTCAAATTGATATTCTAAAGACTAGATATGACTATGTCACCTCTCTGCTGCATTCAATTAACTGCAGTGGCTCTCTATTTACCCCCAGGATCAATATAAAATATTTGGTTTGGCTTTTCAATCCTTTTATATAATCTTGCTTTTTCAACCTTCCCTATCTTTTCACACCTTATTCCCATCCACTAGCCTTGCAGGTTTTTTTGCATAAGACTCTCCATTTCTTTCTTTTCATGCTTGGGATTCTCTCTCTCTTTTTTTCCTTCTCATTTCTGTTTTTTGTCTTCCCTTACTTCCCAGCAAACAGGCCGTTTTCTTCAAGATGCCTTTCCCAGTCACCCTTAATACTAATGACTTTGTTCTAAGATTATCTCCAATTTATTGTTTATATCGTGTTTGTACATAGCTGTTTGCATGTTATCTCCTCCACAAGACTGTGACCTTCTTGAGACCAGGGACTCTTGTTTTCCTCTTTGCTATTCTTTTCATCCCCACTAGTTAGCACAGTGCCTGGAACACAGAAGGTGCTTAATAAATGATTGTTGACTCGGACTTTCTGAATTGTTTAGGGTACATTTGCTGATTTAATCACAAAGCGTCTTAATAGGTAAGTCCTCACTGTTGTTGTTCTGTCATTTTCCCATCCTATCTGACTCTTTTTGACATCGTTTAGTGTCTTCTTTGCAAAGATACTGGAGTGATTCGCCATTTCCTTTTCTGGCTCATTTAATAGATAAAGAAGCTGATGCAAACAGGGTTAAGTGACTTGCTCAGGATCACACAGCTAGTAAATGTCTAAGGCCAGATTTGAACTCAGGAAAATTCATTTTTCTGACTCCAAGCCTGGCACTCTATCCATCCACTATACCACCTAGCTTTCCTAGGCTCCCACTAGCTACTTCTCTAAGGACCTTGTTTGTTTTGAAAGCTTTAGAAATTTATGAATTTCAGAAACACCATCATAGATCACAAGAATGGTACATTAAGCTAAGCCATCCCTCTCTGAATATAGTGAAAGTCAAGGTTTATAGATGTCCATGGTAGCCCTAAATGGCTCTCACCTGGAAGGATTAAATCTGTAACAATTCATGTTCTGTTTTCTTTAAAACATCATTACCTTTCATTCATAAATGTATTGCACACCTTCTTTAGCCAATTTAGATTGTTATCATTTACCCCTTTTGGACATAATGAATTTCATAAGTTGACTTCCTATATAAAATCTACTGCTTCTTTTACCACCATTACTTTCAGGCTTTATGGGATTAACTGACTCTACAGCCTTTGACTCTCATCCTATTACACAATTTAACCCTCACATTAGACTTCACTTGTATTTGTTTCGGGTACTTAAAAGTACTGGAACTTGAAGGAAAAATGCCATTTCTTTTGGAAAGGAAGCCACTTGCTGTCACCTAAGAGTTGTAA